AGCCTGTACGGCTCACCAAACCACCCAGCACCTGAAGTGAACACCTGAAAGCATAAAAATAAAAGCAACCCCTTTGCCTATGGCATAAGGCAGAGTAATGTAAATTTACTTTGGTTCAAATCATGGGTTTGCTAAAAAACAAAACTCAATTCCAGCTGAAATCTTTTTTCCTGAAGTTAATGCATTGGAAGTAAAACAGTTCTGTAAGTGAAATAGCAGGCTTTGAATTTTTATCATGTATTTTTTTTTTCTTCTGCAGTCAAAATTTCTGTACGAAATAATGTTATAGTCTTCAAGGTACATCTTGAAGAAGAAACCAGTAGTTATCTTTAAAAGCATGCATTCCTTAGCTGGGCATGGTGGTACATGCCTGTATTCCTCACACTGTGAGCCAGGAGGATTGCCTTGAGTTCAAGGTCAGCCTCAACCACATAGGAAGATCCCCATCTCAAAAAAATCAATCATTCAACCAATCTTTTACAATATAAACATACTGTATGTTTATAGTTCTAGTGATCTAACAAGCACAGAGCTACATTTTTTCTGAAATAATTCTGTTCTCTCATAAATACAGGCAGTATTTTTATGTTCTAATTACAAGCTCAGTTCTCTATACTACTTTAATGTATACATAGTTCTCTTTTTTGTATTTAGTATAGGGTCTATAGGGTCTCACTACACAGATCCAACTCATCATGACCCTCCTATTTTCAGCCTCCCAAGCACAGGGATTACAAGTGGGTGCCACCATACCCAGTCTCAATCACAGTCTCAGTGAGCCCCGGGGGCAGGGCTGGCACTGCACAAGGGGATCAAACCAGGGTCCTTGCATCTGCCTAAGCAGGTGCTTTAACCTGCTTACGTATCTGGCTGCCCCAAATAGTTCATATGTAAAGTTCATGGTTACGCACTTTATTTCTATCTATTATTTCTATAGAAATTAGGTCAGAACAGAAATACACATAGATAAAATTTAGGTGATATGTCTTAGCTCAAAGTGATTTGTACTGTAAAGATTATTTCAATGCAAATAGACAGAATGGAGTAAGATGTATATTACCTTTTATTTTCTATTAAATATTTTAACTTTACATAAATTACTGAGTGGAATTTAGAATTTCAAAATTATCACCGAACCTGAAAGATCAAATTCTTATTTCAAGACCATGAAATGATGCAAACTACTGTTGCATTTGCTTCAGTACTGACAAAACTAAGTCGAAATATCAAATGTTTTACCTAGTTTTTTTTGTTTTTTTCTTTTTTATTTATCTATTTTGGTGGAACTGGGTATTGAATTCAAGCCCTAGGGCTTATTCTACTGAGCTATCTACACATTACCTAGTTTTAAATCTATTTTTCAGTTTTTCAATACTTCTTTGATTTTTTCCATGTGCAGAGTAAGGAAAATAATCACATGCAAAAGGGGCCCCTTTATCAAAGATATATTTAATTTTTTAATTTTATGTATTTATATTTATTGATAAAGGGTCTTACTGCACAGTTCAAACTCATAGTGATCTTCCTGCCTCAGCCTCCCCAGAGCTGGATTTAAAGGCATGTACCACCATGCCCAGTTTCGGGCCAGCAAGGCATGCCTGAGGTTCTAGGGCCAGCACAGCATGTGGTACCGGAATCAAACTGGGGTCCTTGCTCTTACCAGGCAGGCACTTAGACCTCCAACCTATCTCCTCAGCCCTCAAAGATATATATTTGTATTTTTCATATTATTTGTACTGTTCTTTTGCATTTTTAAAAAGCAATCTTCAAATAAGATTTTTTTCAAAAAAAAAGTAACCTTCACATTCTGAATCATGGCTAAGAGAGTAAGTTTTAAGTATTCTCACAACAAAAAATGGTAAATTTATAAAATAATACATGTAAATGTGCCAGATTTAGCTGTTCTGCAACATTTACATCTTTAATATATGTTACTTTTTTCAATAAAAAACACAATCTTGGCAGATATTTATATAGCCTATGAAAATGTTTTTATATTTATAATTGTTTAAGTCTTCTTTCTTTGGGGCTGGGGAGATAGCACAGCAGTTTAAGCACTGCCTGACAAGCACTGGGACCCAAGTTCGATCCCTGGTACCACATGCCATGTCTGCCCTATGCCCAACTGACCACTGAAATCAGGCATGGTGACACACATCTACAATCCCAGAACTGGGGCAGCTGAGACAGGAGGATCACTAACAAGTCCAAGCTCTATAGCAAGACCCTGTACCAAATACATAAATTTTTTTATTTTTTTTATACTATCACTTTTTTTGGTGTTTGTTTGTTTGTTTGTTTGTTTCATAATTTTATTGAGAAACAAATAGCAAGGAGACAATTTCAAATTAAATTGGTAGGACAGTTTCAATAATTAACACATTGCATACTCTCTTCCTAGTGGTTATTTGTTGTATAAGATGCAGACATGATAACCTATTTACAAACACTATTAGAAAAAATCCCTCTATTCATTAAGAGAATGTAACTATATGTCTATCCTAACTATTTTGAATGCACAGATACAAAATGGACATTCGTCTGTATCCCCTTTTTTGTTTAGTTCCGTCATTTGAATATTATAGGTGTGTTAACTCAGCAAAATATTCTAAAAGAATCCAATAATCCATGAGAGCATTGGATCTTCCACTTGACTGGCAATGTCAGAAATTGTTGACCTGAGTCCCCTACAGCTCAACATAACAGCATGGCTTTACTTCTTGTACTTCATTTTTATACTTCTCTGCTAGATGGTTAAGACCAAGATAAAGCAAGACCTATGCAACAAAAGTTGTAGTTTTTGGATCTGATAAGGTCAGTGAAATCCCCTTAGGATTTATCCTGAGATCCTGTACCTCAGATTGTAGAACCTTTGTCAGTGTCAGCCATGTGGATGAGTCACAGCCATTGCTTGGCCAATGTGCTCTCTGTGAAAGCCTGAGAGAATGTTTTCTCTCCATGTGACTCTCCTTAGGCACATTCTACATCATCAATCACTTTCTTCTTTGGCCCCATAATCTCCTTGATCAGAAAATTTGGGACACTACTTAGTTACATGACATTACAGTACAAATTCTCATATGTCTTGAGTCTTAACAGACCTTGGGAGGCTAGGGCCAAAATGTTGGCTTTCCTTGTTTTTTTTTAAAAAAGTTTTCTTTCTTTTATTTTTACAAGCTTATGAATGTCCTATAGACAAATGCTATGAGAACTAATAGGCAATTACCAGATCTGGGCAAATTTTACATGACAACAATAAATTCACTTTTCCATATGCTAAATACAATACTATGTCAAATTATGTTCATATATTTTGTGTGTATGCTGTTTTAATTTTATTTTAATTTATAAATTATAATTTTATATAGTTATTATTAGTATTAGTATGTAATGCTCATAAAGGCATAAATTTATTATATATTTCTGGTCATAATTGTCCTTATTTACTTTTTATATCTGCTATTATAGCTTCTTGGATAGTGAATATCTTGGGAATAACTTATAATTGAAATGTGTGTTGGTTGACAATAAATGTTTATTATTGGATCTAAAACTTTGCTAGATTTAATGAGTAAAAAGCTAGAACTAAAGTACCATTTAAAAGAAGAGAAGGGGAGAAGTAGGAAAAGGGCAAGCTGTACTCTATCTCAAGATCTGATTGAAATGGGTGACCTTTGGAAACACTGGGCAACTAAAGGGAGAGAGCAGTAGCAATAACCAGCGCAGACTATCATCATGTGCTACAGAGATTCAGAGTTTAGAAAGATAATTAGGACCTGAGGGTGGAAGAACTTCATACACAGTTGAGTTACATGAGCCTCAAAGAAAATTAGGATTGGATTTGGTCTTAGGTAGTTTACTGAGCTTTTACTTAGAAAAGAGGGCGTTCCAGGTATAAGGACAAGTGTGAGAAAAGTGCAAGATAAGAAGTTTCCAATGTAGTGAATACATTTTATCCTGGAGTCTGAATTTCCCCCTGAAATTCTGACACCAAGTTTTCTTACACCTTTTAGAAAAAGAATACTGTTTGTATTCTTGTCCTTTCTGATCTGAAATTGGAGAGCATGAAGGTACTTTGGGGCTAGAGGAAACAACAAGATGTCATGTGAGAAGTTAGTAGTATACCTGGTATTCATTTGAGACACTTGTCTGTCTTGCCGGAAATAGAAATGTCCTACTTACTCTGTTACTTGAGTTTATAGTTATTCTTTATTTCAGTGGTCCTCAGTCTATAGTTAGCTTTCTTGTACTATAACAAAATTCCTGAAATTGTCAATTTGAAAAGAAGACAGTTTTATATTCGTTCTCAGTTTAGTGAATTTAGTCCATGCTTTGTTGGTCCCATTGCTTTAGACCTGTGGTGAGGCAGTATCTCAAGGCGAGAGTGTGTACAAGCCTAAGGTGCTCAATTCTGGGGCCACAGCCTTTCAAGGGCTTCTCTCTAGGGACCTAAAGCCTTACCCCAGGCCCTGCCTCTTGTCCCAACCATTTCTAATAACACCAAGCTGAGGACCAAGATATAATCCACGGGCCTTTGGAGGACATTCTGGATCCAAATGATAGCACAGCCTTTTTGCACCTTCTAGCAACTGTTTCTTCTTGCCTTTGTTCAAGATTGCCACTGTGACACATTATCATCTTTCGTCATAGATTCTAAGGAGAGTTGGGCCTTGAGAGAACTTACATCAGAATCCCAGAGAAGGATATAGAATATATATATATATATATATATAGTTTGAAAGTTGTCCTTGGGACTATTTGTATCCCCAGTTCTGTACCTCTGTACCCTTTGTTATATAATAATTTTTGTATGTAAAATAAATTTTATAGTTTGAGTTCCAAGTCTCATTTTTTTCTGGAATGTTAATAATATATTGGATTATTAACAAATTGGAATAAATGATCCCTTGATAACTTAATTTTAAATACTCTTTAATTTTTCTCTGTATATCTCTTCCAACTCCCCTCCTTATTTGTCTGTTTACATTTTCATGTTTTAGATCCCAAAGTCCAAGAGTGAGGGATCCATTCAGGCCCACCAAGTCCTGCAGCCCGAGCCATCTGATGGTGTTCCTCAGATCAGCCTGTGGCTAAGTCGTAGGAAACCTCACATGGATGACATGAATTCAGCAGGGGACAGCAGTGGTGCCGAGTGGATAACCAGGTTGGCAAGTTTCTCATATCTTTGTGATGCAAATTGCATCATCTGTTGTTAATATATAAGCCCACATACCTAGGTTTGTCTCTACATGTCTACCACTTAGTCTGTCAGGTATGTAGGTCAACAAAAATGGTTAAAATCTATTTTAAGTTTTGAGAATTTTCTGAATGATTCTTATCATAGAAAATATGAGTAAGTAGGGCCAGCCAAATAGCTCAGTGAATTAGAGTACCTACAAGCAGGCACAGGGGCCAAGGGTTTGATCCCTGGGCCTGCTGTGCTAGCCCCTCCCCCGGAGCATGCTGACACAGCAATTGAGACTGGGCATGGTGGCGCGTGCCTGTAATCCCAGCTCTTGGGAGACTGTAAACACGTGGATCACTAGGAGTCCAATCTATCAGTGAGACTTTGAACACCCTGAAGACTCTTCCCTAAAAAAATACAAAAAAAAAAAAAAAAGAAAGAAAATATGAGTTACTGTTTTACTTCATGGATTTGTACACATTATTTAATAAGACTGTGCTGAGGGCAGGCCAGATAGCTCAGTGATCTAAAGGGCCTGTTTATGCAAGCTTAGGCAAGCACAGGGACTGCACTTCCATCCCTGGCACAATATGCCACTCCCACCCCCACCTTATGTGTGGCTGAGACACACACACACACACACACACACACACACAGAGTCTATGATGAGTTCACAGTTGCTTTTCATAGCATGCAATGGAAAATACTGTATGCAATCTATGAAACTTTTTTTTTCTTGTATTTTAGGGAAAGTTCTACAGAGTGTTCAGGGTCTCACTACTAGATCAGACTTGTAGGGATCTGCCTGTTTAGAGCCTCCCAAGAGCTGGGATTACAGGTGCATGCCACCATGCCCAGTCTTAATTGCTGTCTCAGCATGCCCCAGGGGCAGGGCCAGCACAGCAGGCCCAGGGATCAAACCCCTGGCCCCTGCGCCTGCTTGCAGGTGCTTTAATCTGCTGGGCTATTTGACTGGCCCTTAAAAGTTCAGAAGGATTCCTTCCTCCCCCCCCCCATCATGCCCTGGTAAAGCATGAGGATCAGGGGATGGAACCACAGAATCCTGAGCCTGACTCTTAAGCAGGCACTTAAACAACTGAGTTAATGGACAGGCCCCCCGTAGGCAATTTAAAAGGGAAATCGGAGTTGTAACCAGTTCTTACATACTAGTTTTGAATATTACCTTTAAAATATAATATTGCCCATTATACCAGAGAGCAAAATTCTATGTTATACTTGAAAAAAAAAGTATGTAATTTTCTTAAAGCAGATATATTGAGGCCTGAATTTTATATACTGCTAGCATATAAACTTTAGGAAAAAAAACAGAATTTATTGACTAAGTATTGGGAATCTCTAGGAGGATTTAAAAATGTTAAAAACTTTAGGTAGGGCAGCAGATATAGCTCAGTGGTCTAAGCATCTGCCTAGGCAAGCACAAGGACCCAGGTATGATCCCAGTACCACATGCCATGCTGACCCCGCCGCAGGCATTCTGATCTGGCCACCAAGATCAGGGGGTGGTGGTTCACACCAGTAATCCCAATGCTGGGGAGGCAGAAACAGGAGGATTGCCACGAGTCCAAGCTCTGTAGTGAGACCCTGTGCCAATTACATAAAATTGTTCTTAAAAAACTTTAGGTACATAATAGAGTCAACAAGCTTGCCACTTCGGATTGCTTTATAAAAGAAGAGGAATTTGATCTGGATCTTAAAAGATCAAGACAATTTAAATAGAAAGAGTAAGAACACCAGGCTATTTTAGATAGGCCAATTAGGAGGCATGAGGAATAATAAATCAGATTTGGTTGGAATTGAGGCTAGTAAAGTCGGAGAAGCCAGGTCAAATAGAACCTGGAGTGACAGTTGGTAATATTTTTGCATTTGATCATCCATTAATTGAACCAATATTCAATAGTCACTTTCTGGTTCAAGGAACTGCCTTGACTGGAAATGCCACAGTGAAAAAAGGCTGTCAAGCCCGTGTGTTCATGAACTTGACAATCTAAAGAGGAAAGCAGTGGAGAGGCACAGTAGAATAAATGCCTGCGAGGGCAAGGATTTCAGCTCTCGTAGTAAGAAACTAGGTTAATACAGCAAATCCAGTTAATATAATGGACTGACTCTAAGATCATGTTAGTTTGAGAAAATAAGGAAGACTGGGCTGAGATGTGAGTGGGGGAGATGAGTCTGTGAAGATCAAGGAAAGACCTTGTAGGCAGAGATTACAGTGCATGTGAAAGAATGGAGGTAGGAGAAGCTCAGCTTCATCCTGCAAGTAACAGAAAGCCTGTGGAAGTGCGACAGGGGAGGGCAGAGTGATGGAGAGTTGGTATCATGGGAAAAGTAGTCTTTCACCAGCCTGCAGGATTGGAGGGAGTTTAGCAAGGGGGTAATGTTGGTTCCTTTGATGGCTATTAATCTTTATTAATAGTTACATAGCACTTATTGGCGAGCCATAAATGCTCTACTTGGAGAGATAGAAGAAAGGGGAACAAAATGTCAACTATTATCATGAAAGATGCATTTACTAAATACCCATTATGTACCAGACACTGCGAGATAGTCTGCTAATAAAACCATAAATAACATCCAGAAATTCCTCTTAAGAAACTTAAAATACAGTTTGTGGGGAGCTGCACAGGAAGAAAGAGGGGGCAGTTTTATGTGGGCAGATGGAGTTCAGGAAAGATTTTGAGCTAAGGTTTGTAAGATAAGTAGAAATTGATTGGGCAGGAATATAGAAATCAGGGTGCTTCTGGGAGAAAAGCAACAAATGAGGACTTCCAGGACCATCAGGACAGTTCAAGGCACTGGATTAATGATATCTGGAGTGGACAAAGTAGTATTTTGGCCAGCTTTCCATTGCTCTAGCAAGCACTTGAAATAAGCCAACTTTTAAGGAGGAAAGATTTCTTTTGGTTCATGGTTTCAGTCCATGGTTCATTAATAACTTTGTTTTGGAGCTGTGGCGAGGACCCTCATGGTGGGGGTTGTATGGTAATGGAAATTATTTACCTTATGTTAGCCTGAAGACAGATAGAGGACGAGGAGTGACTGTGGTCCCAATCTCCACCTGAAGGATGCACCTTCCGTGAACTCATCTCCTTCTTCTAGCACCTAAAGGTCCTACCACCTCCCAACAGGGCCTTTAATACATGAAACTTTAGGGGACACTTACACAAAGTATAGCAAAAAGGATAAAGATGGGTTAAGAGACTAAATCAGTGGCTCAGTGGATTAAAGCACCTGCAAGCAGGCACAGGGGCTTAGGGTTCAATCCCCGGGCCTGTTGTGCCAGCCCTGCCCCTGGGGCACACTGAGACAGCAATTGGGACTGGACATGGTGGTATGCGCCTGTAATCCCAGCTCTTGGGAGGCTGTAAACAGGTGGATCACTATGAGTCCAATCTAGTAGTGAGACCCTGAACACCCTGTAGACCCTTCCCTAAAATTTTTTTTAAAGAGACTAAATCAGTTAGATCTTGAAAGAGTATATCCCATATTAAGGAGTTTGGATTTGTACCTCAAAATAATTGTAAGAATATAGACAGGAAAGCGATATAAAAAGACTTGTATTTTATAAATGATTCTGCAAAAACAATGCAGAAGGAAGAATTAAAGGGAACAGTAAGTGGTGTTGGGAGACCAGCAAGGAGGGTAGTGGGACAATCAGGCCAAAGTACCAGAGTCCACTTAGTTACTGTGAGTTATGGAGAACAAGGAGTCTTTGTCCCTTGAAGGGAGAGAACAGGTTGTTACTTAAAGAAAAAGACCCAGAAAGGCTTGGGCTTCTTCTCTGTTTGCTTAGTTAGTTGAGGAATGAACATATTGTGATAAATGAAATGTAGGCATGTCTGTGTGCTCTAAAGGCAGAGCTGGGGAGAGGAAGAAGCAGAGATCAAGGTTCTCCAGGGGAAAAGCCAGAGACCAGGGAGCTGTGCAGACGGCAGAGGAAGAAGGTCATGAGGGAGGCAGTCATAACTGTGGAGAAATTAGCCTTGACTGTGAGGAAAGGTTAAAGAAATTATAAGGGACACAGATACAAAGTAGTGAGCCCTTTTAAGGTTTTCCAATATAGTTTAAAATCCACTGTCAAATAGCTAGAGATAAGAGCTAGTGAAGATATCTTAATTGTAAAGAGTTAATGTCAAAAATGGCTTACATGGGGGCTGGGGAAATGGCTCAGTGGAACAAGCGCTTCCCTGGCAAGCGCAAGGGTCTGAGTTCAATCCCCAGGTAAAAAAAAAAAAAAAAAAAAAAAAAAGCTTACATGTAATAATGAAAAGAAACACTTAAATGTTTGTTTCTACATCACTTTAATGTATCCAAAAACATTTCCTGCTCCTACAGATAGCAAGAAAAGAGCTTTGTGTTTGGAGAATGAATCTGTATTTCTGAGAAACAAATGAAGAAACAAGATTATAGAGGGAAGGCACAGCTAACCATTGCTGTAGCCACTCTTTGTTCTTTCAGTGATTGTGATATAGCCCCAGCTGAAGCAAATGCATAGTTGTACTCATGAGTTTTGCATATACTGTGTTAGTCACTTTCCTGTTGCTGGGACAAAATACCCGACCCTCTAATTTAAGAGAGAAGAGGCTTATCTTTGCTCATTGTTTTCAGAGGATTCAGTCTGTGGTGGGTTGGCTCCAGGGTACACAGTGGCAGGGCAGGAGGTCCTGGTGAGGGAAGGCAGGAAGCCGAGAAAAAAAGAAAGAGGAGCTGCTGGGACCCACATATACTTCCAGGTCAGACCTCCTGAGACCTGTCCTCCTCGACATTTTTGGCCCCACCTCCAAAAATGAGACTTTCAGGGAGCGTTTTAGATCTAAGTAAGCATTGGTATGTATTTGTATGTATAAAATACATACATTTTCCATTTTTTTAATACAGCCAGGCAGCCTTCTGTAGGACGCCCTTGTCTACACTAAGCCTGCCAAAACTTGTTTCCTGTCCATCATCAACCAATTCTATCT